CTGAGTTACCAGTGATCCTTATTTGACACCTAGTAAGCAACACAGCTTTCTATCTCTGTTTTGTGTCCAGACCAGAGAGATGAAAATGCATTTCAATATGGTGGAATGTCAGCTGACTGAAATGAATGGCCTCCATTTAATTTCTACATAATTCTGATACTTGTTGGGTATTTGAGATGTTTCTTTTTCTTGCTATTAGAAGTCTGATGAAGGTCTGATGTTTGTGATTAGGAAAAAAGTTTCAAACAGCTAATATGGATTTCCTCAGCAACACAAATTCCTTTTTGGTTTTCTTCTTGCAAGTCCTTCAGGGCTATACTTCAAAGCCAGCAAAGAGAGATCACCACCGCCCACCAGCTACCCTTAAAGGTACATTGGGTTCTCACCACCGCCAGATAGAAGTCTGGTCCATTTGATTAATAACCATCGACCCCCAAATCTCTCAGTGAGTTGGTTTAATTTTTTTTCTTTCTAAAAACAAGGGCATCAAGGCATGCTATTCAAAAGAAAGGTGCGGAACTCATTAATTTAACATTTATGCCTACAAAAACAGTTTCAACATCTTCCCAGCTGCTTGTCACCCAGTCAAAGGTCAATAATTTTTTAAAGAATAAAAGCAGGTGGGATATTTAGTCCCCCACAAGACAGCTCGTCCCATAGGAGGTCAACTCCACAAGCACTCATTGAATTGAAAAACAAGGCATAGAACCAGCCACCTCCCTGCAATTGTGCTCTTCCCTCTTACGGAGCCACGCAAGATCAACCCTGGCCCTTGGCAGGTCTCCTGACTGCCTTTAATTCTTCCTCTTTCCAAGCCTCTCCCCAGTTCCTTGTCCCCTTGGGGCACCCAGAGTCAAGATCCTTGATCTTCGCTCGAAGACATTTAGAATAGAACAGGAAAGCAACCACACAATTGCATAGAAATAATACGGAGGAAGGTGGCCTGAAGATCGGAGACGGCTGCTCCTAGAGAAAAGCATGTTCTGAAACAGTATTGCCGAGGAAGCTCTCCTGCATGCTCCCATCTCCTCTGAGCCCACAAAGGTGGACTTGTTGGCTGCGTGGAGTCTGTGCGTTGTGCAGGGAGCACTGTGCTCCTGAGGGGTCTTTCTGAAGCAACTCTCCAAACCTGTCTTCCGAAGTCCCTCTGAGTGGGTTCAAACTTCTAGTAGTTAAGTGCTTAACTTTATCATCCAGGGGTCTCTACAACAGCTTGATGACAGAGTTTCTAATCTGTAGGTAGTGACCGATAAAGAAACGACCATCACCTTGTACTCTGGGAGCCCATGTGCTGCTATGATGCTGGAAGTTATGTCACTGGTATTTCAAATACTGGCATTAGGCACCATTTGCCTGGGACTGTTGGGGCCAGACCTATGGCATGGGAAACATATCACTATTATTTCAGATGCTGGTGGACAAATATCAGCAGAACATTCAAACAGAGGCAGACTAGGAAGAATTATGCATAAGAAGGGACTCAATTGCAATGAGTTTGAGCTTTGACTTCCAAAATCAGTCAATGAAAACCTGGTGGAGCCTGTGTGATCACGAGGTGTAAAAGGGACCAGGTATCAGATATCAAAGAACAAAAGATCACATCAGTGTGTGCCCACCTTCCCGATATGATCACTGAAGACAAATGGGTGCATAAGCAAATGTGGTGAAGAAAGCTGATGGTGCC